ATAAATGCTAAACACAACTCACATACAAAAGATAATGAGAACATATATAAATATATCAAAGTGAAAGATAGTGTTCCATATCTAAGAACATAAAAAAAACATTTGTAAAGGTAGATTTATGAAATCAAAAGAAGAGAAACATGAGAATCATGCAAAAAGAGTTTTCGAATAAAGAGAATCATGCAAAAAGTTTTCAAATGAAAACAAATCAACCAATTTAAATCATAAATCAAAGTTTAAATCAAAAATGTAAAATCAAATCATCATTGATTCAAAAATCAAGAGAGGCAACCATATCTAGCTTTTGAGCTAGTAATAACCCATATAAACTTTTTTAGCACCCGGTAAACAATGTTTGGGAATAAACACCCAATAAATCCGGAGGGTTATATAAACATAGTCCTCTCATCAAGATCAAAACAAATAATCATGAAAACAAAAGATTTGATCAAAGAAAATTTATTTTCATAACCAAAAATAAAAACACTAAAATTCTTGGTTTAAAAATTATTTTGGCACCCAAGCATTCTTGGTGCCGGATTGTTTAGGGACATGACCCCTATCAATAAAGCTCAAAGCCCTAGGGTTATGAACCCTCTTGGGCGCATGTGGTGCACGAACACGGTCATAACAAAAAGTACTCAAATGACCTTTCCGATTGCAATAAGTACAATGGAAAGGAAGCATTTGTTTATGTTGACCAAACGGTTGTACACGGGAAACATTAGAAACATTTGCAAACATGGATGGTCTTTTAAAATTGTTTTACAAATGTGAAACTCTCTTTAAATCAAAACAAAATTTGGCCAAGTGACCAAATCGACCACAAAAATCACATTTGTACACATGGACATGTTTATGATGATCTATATGTGTGTGTACATGTGAATGTGATGAAGAAGTCTTATGAGATGCACAATAAGGATTAATATTCTTATGTTTTTATGCATCATAGCAAAATTTACCTAAGTGGCCTTTACGGTCGCAAATAGAGCATTTATAAATTTTGCTATACATGTGTGCATAGTGAGTGTTTGATTTGGAAGTGTTAACACGGGACTTTGCACACAAGTCCATAAGCTTATCATTTTTCACAATGCATGCTTTTAAGGTTGAATCTAAATAAGATATGCGGTTTTTTACAAGATTCAACTCATCATTATGCACAACATCATAGATAATAGAAGTAGAGCATGTATGGTTATGCTCCTTTTGAACTTGAAGCGGGATCCTCCAAAGCTTGTCGGATCGCCTCCAAGTCTCCTTGATGCGCTTCTATGAATTTCCATAATGTATAAGCGCTATCAAAAGAATCAAGCTTGTTAGACATAAATGAATCAAATGCATTTAATAAAAATTCTAACATAAGCTTGTTCATAATAAACATCTTTTTATCATGTTTGCTCCACTTGGATTTCTCCAACGTGGGCACAATATAAGCACAATCAATGATTTCCCATAAATCGATATTTTTAGATTGAACAAATATTTTGAATCTAAAACACCATTGAGCATAAGGGAAAGCATTGAATTTAGGAGCAATACTAGAATCATAGCCTAAACAAGATGCATCATTCATATTCATAATTTGTAAAAATATGCAAGCAAGATGCAAATGCAATCAAAACAAGATTAGCACAAAAAGATAACTTGGATCTTTAACTCAAGGCGATTAGACCTTAAATCAAAGAGCACCAAGCTCTGATACCAATTGTTAGACCCTAGAGGGGGGGTGATTAGGGTCTTATGCTAATCTAATCCGATTAAATGCCAATTAAAATTAATTAACAAGTTATCCTAGCAAGTATGAAATGCAATAATATATATGAGCTAGGATAAGCAATATACAATATGATATATCCTAGCAAAGAGATATATAGCAAAGTATATATGCAAGGATATATAAACTAACACAAGGGGTAAATAATCTAAACAAGATAGTGGATGAAATAAATGAGTAATGCGCAATTGGCGATATAAGATAAATGCAAAAACAAATACGCCAAAGACAAACTCAAACAAGCGATATGATCACGGAGTTCGGACATTCCGTCCTACGTCTCCGCTCCCCACTCCCGGGGAGAAATCCACTATCACAACCAGGTTTTCTACGTTCACCCGAATAACGTTTACACCTCACAGTATCGGTTTTCAACGCTCACCGATCAACGTCACTCCTCACAATCGGTTTACCGGGTCAAGCAAGAGAGTGATGGAAGCAAGAAATTCAAGGCCAGATTAGTCGTGAAGGGGTTTTATCAGCGGGAAGGAGTAGACTACACGGAGATATTTTCCCCTGTTGTGAAACTCACAACCATCAGAGTGGTGGATATTTTCCCCTGTTGTGAAACTCACAACCATCAGAGTGGTGTTGAGTTTGGTAGCTGCAGAGGACCTTTTCCTTGAGCAGTTAGATGTGAAGACTACCTTTCTTCATGGTGACTTGGATGAAGAAATCTACATGAAGCAACCAGTTGGATTCATTGAAGAAGGAAATGAAGAGATTGTGTGCAAGCTCAAGAAGAGCTTATATGGTTTGAAACAGGCTCCGAGACAGTGGTATAAGAAGTTTGATAATTTCATGCAGAACAATGGCTACAGAAGATGCAATTCGGATCATTGCTGTTATTTCAAAAGGTTCGAGTCCAGCTTTATTATTTTGTTATTATATGTTGATCACATGTTGGTAGCAGGACCATGTTTAAAAGAGATAAACAGTTTGAAGAGGCAGCTAGCAAAAGAATTTGCAATGAAGGATCTGGGTGCAGTGAAACAGATTCTAGGGATGCGAATCAGTAGGGATGAAGCTGAAGGGACATTGAAATTGAGCCAAGCTGAATACATTGAGAAGGTACTTCAGAGGTTCAACATGCAGAATGCTAAAGCTGTTAGCACACCCCTTGGAAGTCAGTTCAAGCTATCTGAGGAGCAATCGCCTAAGACAAAAGCTGTTAGCACACCCCTTGGAAGTCAGTTCAAGCTATCTGAGGAGCAATCGCCTAAGACAGATGCACATAGAGAGCATATGAGCAGGGTGTCATATTCTTCGGCCATTGGGAGTCTCATGTACGCGATGGTTTGCACGAGGCCGGACATCGCCCATGCAGTGGGAGTTGTGAGCAGATTTGCAAGCAATCCATGGAAGCAGCATTGGGAGGCCGTAAAGTGGATAATGCGGTACTTGAGAGGGACAACAAACAAACCACTATGTTTTAGGAGGAAGGAATTGGTACTGCAAGGATACGTGGATGCGGACTTCGCCGGTGATCATGATACGAGGCGAAGCACCACGGGGGTATGTTTATACCTTAGCGTCGACAGCAGCGAGCTAGGTCTCACGTCTGCAGAAGATTGTGACTTTATCAACAACCGAGGCTGAGTATGTCGCGGTGACTGAAGCAAGCAAGGAGATGATCTGGTTGAACGGGTGCTTGGAAGAGTTGGATCTGAAGCAAGAGAGAGGAGTTCTTTATTGTGATACCCAGAGCGCTATACATCTTGCTAAGAATCCAGTATATCATGCCAGAACGAAGCATATCGACGTCAAATACCATTTTATACGCTCGCTAGTTGAGGACGGAAAGTTGCATTTAATGAAGATTTTGGAGAGTCAAAATCCGACGGACATGTTGACGAAGGCAGTCACCATTGAGAAACTGGAGTTGTGCGCAACTTCAGTTGGCCTTCACGAGTAGAAGACGAAGGCGGAGCCACACTACGAGGATCGGCCAGATCGCCGGGATATTGTTGATTGAAAGAAGAATTTTTTCGGGGAAAACATACATGCGAAGAAGGGGAAAGTTCGGGGGAACTCATTGCAGGCACTTTGGTCTCCAAGTGGGAGATTATTAGTATAAGGTGTAGACCCAAAGTTCGAGACAAGAGCTGAAATTAAAAGAACAAGAAAACGAGCAGACAGATCCACGGCCGACCGCGACGGTCGACCGCGAACGGATCGACCGCCCCGGTCGATCGCCAAAACCCTGTAAGAAAATCTGGTCTCGGGTTTTTATTGCGGTCGACCGCGCCGGTCGATCGCCAAACTCTCTGGAATCTGATCGGTTGACCGGGCCGGTCGACCGCGACGCAGTCAAACAGAATCCTGTTCTGTTTAGGAATCTGTTTTACTCAGGATTCTATATATACCCCAAATGATTTTAGGGTTTGAACAACATAAAAAAAGAGAGCTTTTTGACTGCAAAAAGAGAGAGAATATCAGAGAGATTAATCCCTTGTTTGAGAGCTTGTATTTTCTTCTTTAATTAATAAAGAGATTGTGTGGTGTGGCTCCCGAGGACGTAGGCACGTTGCCGAACCTCGTTAAATCTGTGTGTTCATCTCCTTTACTGTTTTTTGCAAATTAGATCTTTATTTGTGGTTTTATTCCTACTTTCCTACTTTCAACACAAGGTCCGAAAGGGCAAGAGTTCGATTGATTGTTTCGAATCCCCAACATTTGAGGCAACCCATTAGGATAATTTGAGCGGGATAAATTAGGATAAAATAGGATAATGAGATAAATTGAGTGGCACAATTAATTACAATGATGATTATAAAATCTCAATTATTACATTTAAAACGATCCAAAACACAAGCCCACCTCAACCTCCATCGCCGACTTCTCCACCAACCCCATCTCCACCTCCTCCACCTCCTTCTCCCTGCTCTTACATGCATCCGTACTCCCCAAGTCCATCCAAAACACAAGCCCCACAAAAAACACATACAACCCAACAAACCCCACCCCCTGCCACAAATACATCTCCCACTCAAATACACATAGAACATCACCAGCACCGCCACTAAATAACAAACATTCCGAATGAATAGAGGCAGATCCAAAGGGAAAGGCGTGGCGATGATCGAAACCGAATTTATGACGAAGGCGCCGGCGGAGAGGATGAGCAAGGTCGGTGCGGGGCTCGTCGCAGCGGAGGGTGGCGACGGAGGAGAAGAGGTCGGGGGCATCGTTGCCGAGGGCTAGGAGGGTGACAACGGCCATGGACGACGATACGCGGAGGGAGGAGGAGAGGCGGGTGACGACCGTGACGACCGAAGTGAAGTGGTGGAAGAAGAGGGCAAGATTACCCCCATTTGTTCCAGCTCATAATTTTAGGTAAAATTTGAGGGTGTGGCTGTGGAGGGTTTATATAGTAGGGGTAATTTTGGGTGAAGTGGGGTATTTGTCCCACAATTATCCCAACAAACCAATAACATCATAAAATATACACCAAATCTAATTAGGGCCTGTTCATTTCGCAAAAAAAAAGGAAATCAAAGAATAGAAAACCTATTTCCTATAATAATTGTTTTGAGGTTGTTTGGTTGGCTTAAAAAAAGAAGAAAACTATAGAATAGGAGATGAGATGAGATGAGATGAGTTGTCACCTTATTATTGGATGATGTGAGTGATTTTTTAAAAAAACTTATGTTGAGGTTGTTTGGTTGGTTAAAAAAATAAGGAAATGAATTGGAGGTATATTATTAGATGATGTTTTGAGGTTGTTTGTGTTTGTTTCATTTTTAAAAATAAGAAAATAGATGAGATGAGATGAGTTGGAGGTATATTATTGGATGATGTGACACATACTCGAGGAAATCAATTTCTTGTTTTTTTTGAGGAAATAGATAGAAAAGAAGGTTTAACGAGATGCGATGAGTTGTCACAATATTATTGGATGATGTGTGTGATTTTTAAAAATGAGATAAGATGAGATGTGATGGATGTGTGTGATTTTTAAAAATGAGATAAGATGAGATGTGATGAGTTGGATGATGTGACACATTTCTTGTGTTTGTGAGATGTGATGAGTTGGATGATGTGACACATTTCTTGTGTTTGGTTTATTTTTAAAGGTAAGAAATGAAATGAAATGAGATGAGTTGGAGGATAAAAATATTATTTTATTGGATGTTATGAGTGAGTTTTAGGGATGGAAATGGATAAAAATATTATTTTATTGGTTTTCTTGTACCGATTTCATTTTCTTGGTTTTTAGGAAACCAACCAAACAGCCCCTTACTCCAATGAATAACAACAAAATGTGTTGTTCTAAAAATTATCTCATTACCCCTAAATTTCCACGAATGAATAAACCCCCCCTAAATGAGTTAAAACATTGGTCTCACAAAGAACCCCTCATATTCACAGCAATTACAAAACCGCCCCAGTGAGGAAGGAGCCACGTGTCGACCACCAGCAATCCCGTAAAAAGGAGCATTCAAAATTAACCCACATGGGCTTAACAACAGTGGGTAGTCAGCCATTAACTTCCGCAAAATTACCATCGGACCCCCCGCCGTC